ATATTAGGTAAATGATATTACTATCTAATTTATAACATTTTTTTGTTTCAATCAATGTTAACAATTGACTTAAACAGATAGTAAGATTTTCATAGTCTTTATTGCTCAGAACATGATTAAACTGTGTTGTGCATAGTTTCTATAGTTACGCGAATATCTCAGTGCTTTTTATGATTCGACAGATCATTATAACGTATTAAAAGCTGTATATTAGCCGTTTCTCCCTTGCACCAATATCAGTATTCCAGTATTTACATAAAAACTGCATCTCCCTAGTATCTCTCCAAAGGTACGCAAGACGTATTTTGTTTCTTTGAACATACACCCATCAGTGTTCACTTGATAACATGATCTGCTATTCTCTTCAGGTATTTATTATGTTTCAGAGAATCTTGAAAGCGATCCCAGTTTTTAAAAGACTTGATTGATTGATATTTTCATTTTTAACAGGAACTGAAACACGGATTCTCATTCTCAGCAGTGACATGGAATTATTTGGCATCTACCTGTAATGGAACTGAGACAGAGTTGGAATGAGTTATGGCGGATTTTAAAGGGGACAATTCATCTCGGCTTGCCGTGCACAAAGGTTACCGAAAGCGCAATGACACTAGAGGAATAGCGAATTTTTAGCACGAAAAATTTCAGCACAGGAAAATTAAGCACAGGAAAATTAAGCACAGGAAAATTAAGCACAGGAAAATTAAGCACAGGAAAATTAAGCACAGGAAAATTAAGCACAAGAAATTATCAGCACGGGAATATTCAGCACTAGAAAAAAATCAGCGCGTGAATGGAATTCGGTGGATAGGTAGAAATCATCTATTTAGATTCAATTAAATAGCAATATACAATAAGGTGTGGGAGTGTGAGGGTGTGGGGTAGGTGTGGTGGCGTGTGGGTGTGGGTGTGGAGTGAGTGTGGGATGTGAGTATGGGCTAAAATCTTCTCTTCACATACTCCCGCACCCATATCAATGCTTACACCCACACCCACATCCTGACACCCACATCCACACCCCACACCCACACGCACACCCCATACGCACACCCCACACACCCACCCACAGTCACACCGACACCCACACCCATCCACATCCACCCACACCCACCTATACCCTCCAACTATTATATAATTAATAGAAATTAACTTCGAGTATTAATTTTATGTTATTTTATTTAAATAAATTTAGCAAGTAGATCATTCTGACTTTAGTTTCAATTTAGTCCTTATGAAATAAAGACTAAATTATAAATGCTATAAACGCTAAAAACTGAAACTGTAATACTTAAAATGTTAAGATAAAAAATTAAGATACAAAATCATTAATGTCTCAGAAATTAAGAAAAGAAAAGACTCGCATGAAGGAAAATAAAACTCTTTTTAATAAAATATTTAGTGAAAAGAAGATTTTGAAACCATTTAATTATTACTTGAAGATAGGACACGGACATTCTCTCTGACCATTCTTGACCTTCGATGAATGAACTCACCAGAAAATATTTTCCATTTTTTTAAACTGACTTCCTCTTCTTTTATTTCGCAAGAAGATAAATTCTCATGATTTTGATAATATTATTATCATCTTCGCCCCATTTTGTTATTCTCTTTCTTTATCATTCTACCTTTCTGTGGCACCTTCCTACACTCATTTCTCTCTTTTTCTCTCTCTTCTATATAAGCATGTGTTCAACGTGAAATTATTACCTTCTGGAGTTGTGAATCTGTTTATTAAACATCATTGCCGACAGTGGCGGTAAGCTATTCATCCCGTCTATTTTTACCATAGCTCATTATATTTTTCTAAACTGAGTTTTTAATTTAAAAGAAATCATTACATAATTTGAAGAATGTTAGAGAACATGTTCTATTCTTTCTAAGAATGATGCTGAATTGTCACGAATGCGTATATAGCTTCCAAGAACCGATGATGATGTATTTTTCTAGAGAACACCAAAAAAATCGACCTACTTTGAACGGAATTCTATCATGACCGTTCCGAAGAAAATAACGAAAGAAGAATCATTCAAATAATGATTCGAATGATTCAGATATTGTTCTATTCATAAGAAGAACGATTATGAACTGTCCATGAAGATGCTGCATTAGAAAGGATGCTTTTCCACAAATACAAAATCTACTTTTATCGATTTAGAACGTATTCATCACAATATACAAGGTGATAATTGAGGGTCGGGTAACCTTTCAATCGGTGAGAAAAATAATAATTTCCGACAGAAAAATGATCTCCAGGTAGAAAATACTGCCGCTCCTATGACAAACCTGAAGAGACACTTACTCAGAACTAAACTAAATTCCAACAAATTAAAAGAAAAATGATCTTCTTCAACGCAAAGAAGCATTCAGAAAATGTTAAAATGATACAGTACAACAGAAAGATATATTATTCTTCCTCAAATATACAGTAAATATTTAGTGAAAAAAAAAGAAAATCAAGCAGAAAAATGGTCTTTCTCAGCGGAAAGATGGTTTAGAATAGTTTTAAACTGAATTACTTAGAATATATTAAAAGTTCTAGCTACGGCATTTTAAATTTTATAAAACACCTAGTATCGAAGGTTTTATTGCATTCGTATATAGTAAAATGTCTCTTCTATGATAATGCATATAACAACTCTATCTTGCATTTAATTCCAGCATTCTTTTGGATGAGGTCTGTAATATTAGTGTCAAGGAAAAGGTCTTATAACATTAAATAATAATATAAAAAGAAAGAAATATTTCTAGTTTTATTTTATTAAATACTCAAAATATTCACCACTATTATGCCATCCTTTCTAACAGTTTGTAGATAGTTTTTCTAAATTCTTCTTCTAGAATATCCTTTATTTTCTTGGAAACCTATTGAGCTAGTGATTCTTTGTTTTCCTTGATAAGTCAAACTGTTCTTGATATAATCATTTAGCCAAAGTCACATGACAAAAAGTGTGGCGAATATGATGGATGTGGTATTATTTTAATACCTTCTGTTAAATAATTAATAACATCGGGTTGTGTATGAGGCCGGCTATTATCATGAAGCAATTTGATACATTTTGTGATTGATGATTCTTCTTGTTTCCGTATGTCATTAATAATAGACTTGAGGCAATTTTCAATATAATAATTGTGATTGATATTCTTGGCTTTATGTCAGGTCCCGCGCGAGTGGGAAGTATAGAAGGGTGAACTCTCCCCCAATAATCAAAAATTTTCAGTTTTCTCCAGCCACAAGAACCGATTTCAACCTAAATTTTACGATTATTTTGCAAGTTTTTCCTGAAAACACTTCTTTATACTCTCTAATCAGCCATTCACTCCCGTAATATTAGGCCCTTCGCGCGGGCACTGCTTTATGTACACTGTATAAGAACAAGACCAGCTGATTAAACAATAAACAAAACAATGCTCCGTATTCAGATCTAGTTCGACAAACAAAAGTCCTTGACGGTTTATTTTCACTAATCTAAGTATATTGCTTGACTTCCGACCAGAGATGTGTACCGCTCTCGCGGGTGCAAAGCGTAGGTATGGAATGTGGATGTTGATGAAGAGAAGACTAACACCCACACCCAACCCATTAGAATACATTGTGTCAATCAGATAAAGATGTTGAGAAACCGAGTTGCTATAAAGGTATTTCGCGTTTAAGAAAGAAGAATTTTTGTGATTTATCGAGAGTAGTTTTTTGGCGATCTGTGGTTTTGTGCATATCGAGTCATTTACTAGAAAGAATCAGTGCCTATCAAGAGGCATAGGAGATAGGAAGAAACTGTAGAAAAATGCATGGATATTAACTTATCCTCATTTTGTATTATAGAAAGTTTCATAAAAATGGCATCAGTTCAAGTTGGTCCCCTCGAAACAGGTCATCCTCCCATGGTACAAGAACGCGATCGAATAGCGAACGGCTTTAACAATGCACCATCGCTACCCGTTCGCTTGATTTGTGAAGCGGTTGGTACATGCTGTTTTGTCCTTTTTGACGCTGGCTGTGCAACAAAATCAGGATCTGGTCTATTAGCAATCTCTACTGCTCATGGCATTGTTACAATCTGGCTTGTATACGTATTTGGATCGGTCTCCGGTGCCCATTTCAATGCTGCAGCCACCATTGCTTTTACAATAAATCGTCAAATGAAAATACTTGATGCATGACTATATATTCTTGCTCAAGCATTGGGTGCCCTTCTCACCAGAGCACTGTTACTATTACTGTACTATGGCAATGATACTAAACTAGGCACACCAGAACTGGCATTGAAACCCTATCCAGTTACGATTCTGCAAGGCTTTTTCTTAGAATTCATCTGTACGGTAGTTCTGTCGTTTGTCATTTTCTTTACAATATCATACAACACGCACAAGGAAGCGGCTCTCTCAGTTGAACTAGTCGTCTTCTCTTCATTTCTCCTTGCTTCCGATCGAGATGAAGCAGCTCTTGATCCTTGGCGGTGGCTAGGAACAGCAGTTGCTTCGAATACGTATAGTAGCTATGCCTGGATTTATTCTGTTGGCCCGATTAGCGGGTTCATCGTTGGATTAGCAATTTTCCGAGTTTACAAACTTATTTGGAACCAGTAGTCGAAGAACAAGATAGATCTTATATGTGTTTCGTTTTGATTATTGTATCGTCGTACGTCCGCTATTATTAGGGCGTGTGTGTTGATCGCTCATCAGTGATCAATACCCACACCCAAAATTGCTCTGATTGCAATCATTCTCCCTTCCTTCTCTTCTTGCTCTCAGTTTACCAAAGCCTGGTCAGCATGAAAAATATACACCTTGTTCTAAAACGATTTCGAGCATACGCATACAGGTGAAAGCCTGAGTTTAGCTGAAATTAAGTCGTCCACTATGCAATAATCTCTATGCAATACATTTTTAGTCCTTACTCATTGCACACAAATATTCATCTTATCTGATGAGGATATCAAAAGGAACTAAGACAGAAACCCATATTAGCAAATCCACATTGAGGGTGTGCGCGTGAGGATGAAGAGAATCCACCTATTGTGATTCGACGAATTAAATTGACTTCAAAAACATTATATTCCATTTTTCTTAAGTCAAATGGTCCTGTCCTTATTCATCATATGGGAAGGGGACAAACAATTGATCACCATTATTATATCAACAATTGTTTGCGACCTCCCATCGATGAAATCAAATGTCAAAGACCGTCATGTGGCACTCGTGGTATTATAATACATCATGATAACGGAAGATCACATGTTCATAAATATGTGACTAGTTATCTTGAATCGGAAGGGTGTGGGTGTGAGTGTCAGTGTCGGCATTCTTTCCATTTACACCCACACCCTCATTACCAGATAACTGTCCACTCGTTATATTTTGTCTGTACAAAAAAAAAATTGTATTCCAATTTATCTGAAAAATCATTAATCTATGCATAACCCACAAAGAAAATTCTTCTTGTTCATCACTAGTCATTAACCAATGTCAATTGATTTCTTTGTTTGATAATAATTGACTGGAAATAGTACTATTAATTGTGTGGAAGTTGTTCATTTAATAAGAAAGAAGTTGGATGAGCAACTAATAAAGCTAGTCTCTGGCCTTCGTCACACGCAAGTCGAATAGATTCCACAGCTTGTTCATGCTTGACAAAATCAAGATTATAATGGTTTTTCTACATGGAAAAAAAGCTAATTGAAGAGAGAAACAAAATTTATCAGAATCAAACTGCATTGTACCATCGATTGTACACTCATTAAACGATCGCCAACTTTTAATCTTCCATTGTTATCGGCTACACTGTCTGGAATTATATTCGTTATGAATATACCATAATCACTAGAATATTTCAAAAGTTTCTTTTAACTTCTGTCTTATGGTCAACCATAAAACAAACCCTTTAACATATTCCTGATTAATTCCACCACAAATGCAAAAACCTAAGCCAACGTTTGACATTTTTTCCAATACGACTTCCTCCACAGTCGGCGGTGCTAAACGACGAACTACCTAAAAATAAATACAGACAAAGACATTTAGGAATACTTCTTTTTGAGTACAAAGGAATACTAAGACTGACCAAAATAACAGAGCTTTCAGCTGATTTAAATGTATCAACAGCTTTTTGATGTTCAATTTGAGTAAAATCAGTATCATTAACGCGTAAAATTATATCATGATGTCTAATATCAAATAATATACATGATCATCAAGAAGTTTAATCTTACTTCAATTGATGACCAATATCGGCAATACTACCTTCAATAATGCGTGTAACAATGATCAATGGAGAATAATTCAAACATGGTGCGTCTGTACCACCAGATATTACAAATCCTAGACCTTTTCCAGGTGTCTATTTTAAAGAAATTTTTAATCTATAAAAGAGAACTAGATGGAATTCGAGTTTCGACTCGAATATGAAATGCGGCGCGAAGCACATGTGCCGAGAATCTGAAAAAAGAATCTCGAATCAAAATCGAATAATCGCCCTAATTATCATCGGAATTCGTTCTCACATTTCACATCAAGGTTCCAAGACAATCGAAGATGTTTCTGAATTAGGAATGATCGATAAAAAAACATTTTCATCAAACAATTGGTCTAAGCTAGATCCAATATGAAAGACATCCTTTATAAAATTCATCACTACAGCAACTCTACCAAAGCGTATCGACAGACTTCTAGAAACCGTTGTTTATTAATAGATTAATTATCTCATTGATTCATTATTTACTATCAGCTGTATTCACAGCTGTTTGACATATGAAAAAAGTAAGTGGCGTATAACTTTGTTTTATTTTTTCGATTTTAATATTCTCAAAACTACAAGGCCATGATTCATTATCTATAATCAGCTGTATTACAGCTGTCTTACATTCAAAGAGAAAGAATGGCGCCTAACTTCTCTTTCATTAATGCGGTGCGAAGCACTGGATTTATGTAGTCCGTCGCGAGTTTTTTAATGCAGTGCGAAGCACTGGATTTATGTAGTCGGCCGCGACTTTTTTTTAATGCAATGCGAAGCACAGCATTTATGTAGTCGTGCGCGAGTTTACTTTTTTTTCTTTTTTCCTTACTTGACGTACGCATCATATCTCGTCATTTTGTGACGCGATGATCTCGAGAACTAAAAATCCGAAAAATAGTCGTTGAAACGCGAGATTCCAGTATCGAGATCGAACCGATAATATCTTTTGAGTACATCTCCAAACCACCTTCCGATTTCTCACAAATCGCTTCCAACAATGACAAATTTTTGAGAACTTCGTGCTTTTTTTATTTTGAGATAATTAAAACGAAAACAAAGAGAAAAGTTAGCCGCCATTGTCTTTTGTTCATCTGTCAAACAGCTGTAATTCCAGCTGATTGTAGATAATGAATCATATAGATAATTAAATGATCAATCAAAATCGTCCTTCAGAAAAGTGTTCATAGGCTTTCATAGAGTTCTCTTCGCGATGAATTTTGTTATGGTACTTTTCAATTTTCTCACTACTTATATCAGCTGACTCGTGAAAAAATAATTTTTCGAAATCGAATGATACAGAGAAGTGCCTATGTGCACTAGTCCGTCCATAAATCAACCAGAAATAATGATTTCTATTAACTCGACAATCGAATTACCGTTTTCTACGAAGTACCGTTTTTTCGAAGATTCGTGCTTCGCATCGCATTTCGTATTCGAGTCGAAACTCGAATACCATCTAGTTTTTCTTTTACTTTCTCGACATACGCATGAAATCTTGTCATTTTGTGACGCGATGATCTCGAGAACCAAAGAGCTCAAATTAATCGTTAAAACGAGAGCTGATGTATCATAATCCAACGGATGACATCTTTCTTCCAATGTTTCATCGTATATTCGGTTCGGACAAAAATATCGTTCCAAAACATGATTTGGACGAAATTTTGCATTGAGATAATTAAAACGAAAAATGAAAGAGAAGTTAGGCGCCACTTACTTTTCTCATATGTCAAACAGCTGTGAATACAGCTGACAGAAGATAATGAATCATTCAGATAATTAATCGAACAACGGTTTCTAGAAGTCTGTCGATACGCTTTGGAAGAGTTTCTGTAGTGATGCATTTTATAATGGATGACTTTCATATCGGATCTAGGTTAGATCAGCTGATCGATAAAATTTTTTTTTTATTGATTATCCCTAACTCAGAAACATACTAAATTATCTTTGAACTTTGATGTAGAATGTGAGAACCAATTCCGATGATATTTAGAGCGATTATTGAATTTCGATTCGAAATTCGTTTTTTCGAAGATTCGAGAGATTCGTGCTTCGCATCGCATTTCGCATTTGAGTCGAAGCTCGAATACCACCTAGTTCGTTTTAATTATCTCAATGCAAAATTTTGTCAAAATCGTGTTTCTAGAACGATATTTTTGTGCGAGCCGTATACATTATGAAGCGTTGGAAAAAAGATGTCATCCGTTCGATCATGATACTATCATCTCTCGTTTTAACGATTAATTTGTGATCTTTGGTTCTCGAGATCATCGCGTCAAAAAATGACAAGTTTGATGCGTACGTCGAGCTAAAAAGTAAGAAAAAAAAAAAAAAACCTCCCACAGAAATACTGAGCTTCGCACCGCATTAAAAAAAACTAGATGGTAGTCGAGCTTCGCTCAACTACGAAATGCCCTGCGAAGCAGGGAAGGAGGATCGAAACAATAAATTTCGAAAAGAAATCCAAGAACTGTTCTAACGAGATGATATTGGAGCTTCGCTTCGAATACGAAATGCGTTGCGAAGCACACGCATCAAGAATTCGAGAAACGAATGTCGAATCGAAATCGAGTAATCCGTATACGTATAATCGGTGCGAATTCTCTCAATCTGTGTCAACGTTCTACGATACTGCAGGATGTTTCTCAGTAAGGTACAATCGATAAAAAAATCAACTGTATCAAACAGCAGATTTCATCTAGATTCAAAACGAAATGTGTCCATTATAAAATTCATCACTACAGAAACTCCATGAAAGCGTATCGACAAATTTCTACAAATTGTTTTTTATTGATCAATTAATTATCTCAGTGATTCATTATCTGTAATCAGCTGTATCACAGCTGTCATATATTCAAAGAGAAAAAAATGGCGCCTAACTTCTCTTTCACTTTTCGTTTTAATTATCTCAAAGCCAAAATTGTTCAAAATCGTCATTTTTCAAGCCAGTTTATGAGAAGATTCGGGGTCTTTTCGATAATCTGATCAAAGATTTCACAGGTTCGATGTCGATTCCTTCACTTCACGTTTCAAAGAAACTTTTCTGACTTTCCGTTCTCGAGATCATCGCGACACAAAATGACGAGTTGATGTGCGTACGTCGAGAAAGTAAAAGAAAAAAAAAACTAGATGGTATTCGAGCTTCGCTTCGAATACGAAATGCC